CAACTTGGTCTCATCCATAGCTCACTATAACCCTCCAAACTCCTGAGCTCAAGCAATACTCAAGGCTCAACCTCCCAAGCAGCAAACAGCTTTTTTTTTTTTCTTTTTCTTCTTTTGAGGACGAGAGTCTCACTCTGTTGCCCAGGCTAGGCAGTGCCGTAGAGGCATGAGGGCACGTGAGCTCACAGCAACCTCAAACTTCACTGGCTCCTCCAGTCGTATCCCTACTTATCTCTCTAGCCTCCCGAGTAGTCTCGCGGTATCCTCTGCTACGGCACCCACTGATGCTGCTCAGTGTAGTTTTTTACTTATATATTTTAGTTGGCCAATTAATGATAGATGTCTTGATCTTATCTTTTAGTAGAAGAGTGACACTCTGACTCAAAAAAAAAAAAAAAAAAAGACACATAGAATTATATGACTCAGTGATTCCACTCCTAGGTATATACCCAAGAAAACTGAAAATAGGTACTGAAATACTTGTGCACAACGGTCATAGGAGCACTATTCACAATAGCCACAATGCCATCAATGAATGAATGGATAAAGGTGGTATATCGACACAATGGAATATCCTTCAGCCATAAAAGGGAATGAAATACTTATATGTGCTACAACACAGATGAACCTAAAAAACATTATGCTAAGTGAAAGAAGCAAGACCCAGGCTGGGCACAGTGGCTCACGCCTGTAATCCTAGCACTCTAGGAGGCCGAGGCAGGCGGATTGCTCAAAGGTCAGGAGTTCAAAACCAGCCTAACCAAGAGCGAGACTCCGTTTCTACTATAAATCAAAAAAAATTAATTGGCTAACTAATATATATAGAAAAAATTAGCTGGGCATGGTGGCACATGCCTCTAGTTTCAGCCACTCAGGAGGCGGAGGCAGTAGGATTGCTTGAGCCCAGGAGTTTGAGGTTGCTGGGAGCTAGGCTGACGCCATGGCACTCACTCTAGCCAAAAAATAAAAAGAAATTAAAGAAAAGAAAGAGAGGAGGGAACGGGAGGGGAGGGGAGGGGAGAATCAAGACCCTAAAGGTCACATATAGTATTGTATAATTCCATTTATATAAAATATCCAGAATAGGTAAATTCATAGAGACAAAATGCAGATTGGTGGTTGCCAGGGGCTAGAGGGAGAGGGTAACGGGGAGTGACTTCTTACCAGGTATGGAGTTTTCTTTTGGGGTGATAAAAATGTTTTGGAACTTGATAGAGGTGGTGATTGCACGACATTGTGAATGCAGTAAGTGCTAGTGAATTATACACTTTAAAATGGTTAATTTTATGTTATGTGAATTTTACCGTAATTAAAAAAAAGACATGAGTTCTCCAAGCATGCCTTTAAGTCTGAAGTTACATAATGAATTCCTGGGAGGCTGAAGATGGGCAAAGCTGAGGGCGGAGTTATGGGTGAAGCTAAGAGGACCACTTAGGCTCCCAATTTGCAAAATGGGGCTGATGCACCTTCTGTTTTCCTCACAGCACTACGGATGAGGGTCTTGAAAGCACTGTGTGAACACACCTTCACAGGGTGAACCCTCTGGAATGAAGCCAGACTGACAGCCAGTTGCTGGTTCATGTGGAGCCTTTGGGGACAAGTCACTCATTTTCCGCCGCTCCAGCAATAGTCTGGGAATATCCATACCTACCTTGGAGACAGGCTGTGTGTATACAGCGGACACCTCATAATCAGATCCCTTTCCTCTTTGTGGCTGCTCCCAGCCGCACTCTCAAACACAAAATGTGCGTTTCCAGAATATGCCCAAGAAAGCTGTGGTTCAGACAGGTTAAGGCACTATCCCAAGGTGACACAGTGAGTTTGCTTTTAGAACACAGATCTCCTGGCTCCAGGTCCCCGGAACTTCCCTCAAGCCTCCAAGGCTCATTCATTCTGCACGACAGGAGTTTGGCATCGACTACGCCCTTGGGCGCAGGTGTGCAAGACGAGAGATCCAGCTCAGGAGGCTCTGCGCAGACATGATCTTCGGGTCCTCATCACCTCGTGAGACAGGTGCTGCTGTCTCAGCGTGCAGGTTAAGAAAGTGACACAGTTTAACTGGGACTCAGAGAGGCCAAGCGAGTGGCACCAGGCCCTCAGACCAGAGGGCAGAGGTCTCGGATTCGAACTCGGCCACTCCGGCGGCCCGACGCCCGGAAGCCCCCGAGTGCGCGTGGCTCTGCGCGAGCGAGGCGCGCGGCGCTGGGAATCCCGAGCGGAGCTGGAAGCCGGGCCGTTCATTTGCATGCTAATACCCAGAATGCTCTTCCCCCCGCACACCGCTTCTCTTAATGGAAGCGCTCAGTTTGGAGCCGTGGAAAGTTTGGAACGCATACTTTGCTCCTTCTTTGCAAGTGTGGGAACTTCCCGCCCGCACACGCGGTGCCTGCAGTCTGGGGCTCCGAGCCAGGCGACTCGCCCGCGGCTGCCAGCGCTTCCCCGGCAGGGAAACCTCAGTGTCCAACCTTCGCGCCGCCGTAGCATCCCCGAGCCGGCCGGCCGGGGACAAAGCGCCCAGGCCTGGCGGCGGGGCCTGTGGCCAGAGCGCCCGGCGTCTCGTGGGGCTGCGGGCGCTGGAGATGCTCCCGGTTTGGGGAGGCCAGAGAGTGTTCCCCGACCCCTCTGGTACTCCCTCTTCCCTGGGAACTGTTAGGGCACCCGGAGTGGGGGAGGGGGCCTTGATCCTGTCCATCCCCCTCATGTTGTCCCCGGGGCACAAAGCTCGGCGTGCTGTGGTTTGGGGGAGAGGTTGGACGCTGGCCTCATCTCCCCAGTTCTTCCGGGCGCGCAACCCATACGGTTCAGTCAGTGCTCGGGGTGCAGAAGCAGCTCGGGAGGTTCGGCCTCTCCCCAGCCAGGACCCCGGGCCCTCTCTGGGGTTGGAGGCAGAGAGGCAGTCGCAGGCGACTTCTGGGGATTTCGCGCATCAGTGCGGGGCTCCGAAGGGTGGCCGACGACCTGCCGGTGCGCATAGCAGGCTGGGGGGCCGGGATCTGTACCCCTAGGTTCCTACCCACACCCCCATTCGCCGCCACTCTCGGCGGGGAGGGGAGGGACAGTGGTTGCTGGTTTGCTGGCTCGGCGCTTCGTTTGCATTGGTCCGGGGGGGCTGAGACTGCAGCCCCCGGCCCCGCGGGCGGGGTGGGGAGGCGGGGGCGGACGGGGGCTCAGGCTGCTCTAGCATTGGCGGAGCTGGGGAATGGGGAGGGGGGGCAGGAAGCGGGGGGAGCGGAGCTGCGGGGGGGTGTGTATAAATAGGGAAGGGGGGACGTGCATCCTCGGCTGGGTGAGGGGGGGGCGCTCGGCACAAAGAAAGTGGAAAGTTTGCAGCGCTGGGCGGCCGGGGCTAGGGATCCGGGCGCGCACGTGCAGGGCCGGGGGCGCTAGGGGCCCCCACGCCGAGCTCGCCGTTTCTTTTTTTTTTCTGCAAGCGAGGGGGGGTGTTGTTGGTATCGCCCCCTCCTTCTCCTCCCCCCAGGGGTGAAAGTGCAAGAGGAAGTGCAGCCGCTGCCATCTTTCCTCCGCTCCGAACACACGGAGCCCGGGGCCGCAGCGCCGCCGCTCCGTCGCCGCCTTCGCTTGGCCTGGGGAAGGGCCCACCCTGCCGCCGCCACCGCCCGCCCGCTCCAGCCGCCGCCGCCGCCACCGCCAGCCAAGCTCCCGGACCCGGCTCGCGCCGCCACCCCCGTGCGCGCCCCTCCGCCGCCGCCTTCGCCTTTTGTTTCCTCCGCTCCGGCGCCCCCGCCCCGGCTCGCGCTTTGCAGGGGACGCAGCGCGCGCCCCCAGCGGGCCCGGGAAAAGCCGCGGCGCGCGCGCGCCTGCGCGGCGGACCCCTCCTCCTCCTCCTTCCCGCGTGTGCGCGCCCCTCTTGGCTGCGCGCCGGCGCCGCCTGGCGGGCGGGAGGGGAGGTGGCAGGCGCGTTTGCAGGAGGGGCTCACCTCTTCATTCGCTTACCCCCCGGAAGGTAGACCTAGAAGGGGAGGCGGGCGGGCGGAGAGGAGAGACGAGCGCGCGATCCAGCGGGGGTGGGGGTGGCTATGTGGGGGGTGATGCACCCCGCCGTCTAGACTGTCCGATCCGGGCTGGGGGCGTGTGCGCTTGGCGCACCTGCGAGACTACAGAGCCCCGGGCGGGCACGTGTGGGGAGTGTGGACACGTCTGCTGCGCCCCGCTTCTCGCTGCCTAGGGGAAGGGAGGGGGCGGGCAGGTGCCGCGGCCCAGCTATTGGGAGGGGGCGGCGGCCATGGAGCGGGTGAACGACGCTTCCTGCGGCCCGTCGGGCTGCTACACCTACCAGGTGAGCAGACACAGCACGGAGATGCTGCACAACCTGAACCAGCAGCGCAAAAACGGCGGGCGCTTCTGCGACGTGCTCCTGCGCGTGGGCGATGAGAGCTTCCCAGCGCACCGCGCAGTGCTGGCCGCCTGCAGCGAGTACTTTGAGTCGGTGTTCAGCGCCCAGTTGGGCGACGGCGGAGCTGCAGATGGGGGTCCCGCTGATGTAGGGGGCGCGACGGCAGCCCCGGGCGGCGGGGCCGGGGGCAGCCGGGAGCTAGAGATGCACACTATCAGCTCCAAGGTGTTCGGGGACATTCTGGACTTCGCCTACACTTCCCGGATCGTGGTGCGCCTGGAGAGCTTCCCCGAACTCATGACGGCCGCCAAGTTCCTGCTGATGAGGTCGGTCATTGAGATCTGCCAAGAAGTGATCAAACAGTCCAATGTACAGATCCTGGTGCCCCCTGCCCGGGCCGACATCATGCTCTTTCGCCCCCCTGGGACCTCAGACTTGGGCTTCCCTTTGGACATGACCAACGGGGCAGCCTTGGCAGCCAACAGCAATGGCATCGCAGGCAGCATGCAGCCCGAGGATGAGGCAGCCCGGGCTGCTGGTGCAGCCATTGCAGGCCAAGCCTCCCTGCCTGTGTTACCTGGGGTGGACCGCTTGCCCATGGTGGCTGGACCCCTGTCCCCCCAACTGCTGACTTCTCCATTCCCCAATGTGGCATCCAGTGCCCCTCCCCTGACTGGCAAGCGAGGCCGGGGCCGCCCAAGGAAGGCCAACCTGCTGGACTCAATGTTTGGGTCCCCAGGGGGCCTGAGGGAGGCAGGGATCCTTCCATGTGGCCTATGTGGGAAGGTGTTCACTGATGCCAACCGGCTCCGGCAGCACGAAGCCCAGCACGGTGTCACCAGCCTCCAGCTGGGCTACATTGACCTTCCTCCTCCGAGGCTGGGTGAGAATGGGCTACCCATCTCTGAAGACCCAGATGGCCCCCGCAAGAGGAGCCGGACCAGGAAGCAGGTGGCCTGTGAGATCTGCGGCAAGATCTTTCGTGATGTGTACCATCTCAACCGGCACAAGCTGTCCCACTCCGGGGAGAAGCCCTACTCCTGCCCTGTGTGTGGGCTGCGGTTCAAGAGAAAAGACCGCATGTCCTACCATGTGCGGTCCCATGATGGGTCTGTGGGCAAGCCCTACATCTGCCAGAGCTGTGGGAAAGGCTTCTCCAGGTGAGGAAAGACACCCTCCTCCTCCCCTACTCTCCCATCACAACCTGTCTTAGTCTTGGCTCCTGAGGGAGCCCCTTGCCAAGATCTGGGGGTGTGGGACTTGTTGGGGGTCACTTGCCCTTACAGGGCCATGCCAGGTTTGGGGAGAGTGTTTTAAGGGTCCTGATTTGGGGGTGTTATGCTCAAGAGCTGCTTTCTCTTCCCTTAGGGAAGTTCTCTGACACTAGGTGTGCCCTACTGTCTCTCCTCCTTGGGGCCTGTGGGAAGGGGCCGGATTCCTCAGGCCAGAGCCACCAGGCCTCGCCATTCTTCTCCCTGGGCTCCCTTTGTGTTTCCGGCACCAGGCGTGGGGCCGCCTCTGGGGGCGGGAGACTGGTCTCCAGCAACTTTCCTCGCTTGAATGGAATGGCTGCTGAGGGAGGGACTGGAACAAGTGCATCAGGGACTCTACACTCCTGTGCCACCAAATCCCCCAACTCAGGGCTTGGGTGATCCTGGGTCAGTAGACTCCAGCTTTTCCTTCCACATGAACCTGGGATCACAGGACACAGAGTTGGGCACCCAGAGCTGCCTCTTAACACCCACATCTTTGATATGCTCTGACCTGGTGGCTCCAGAGCCTGGTGGAACCCACAGAGCCCATTTATGTTCTCAGAACAGAAAGGAAAAGAAGAGGCAGGATCTCTTTTTAGGTTCACTTTCTAGCGAGCCTGATGGGGAACTGAGGACTTGTCTGGGAGCAGAGGGTTGTTTTGTTTTTCTCTTAGAAAACATGCAGAATAAAAGGCTGGTTCTGACTTGGACCTTGTGTGGAGGACCCAGGGATGGAGAACTCCCTTAGAGGGGCCCCAGCCAGGAACCAGTCTTACCGGTCAGGCAGCCCCTGCCCACCTGCTCCGGCAGCGGGCATCTGGCTTACCAGCCCAGCTGGGGACTTAAGGCTCCATGGCTGGCCTCTGGGGACTGAATTCCATCCGGGTGGCATTCATTGGCTGCCGTGGCGGGAGAGGCTGGGGGAAGGGCAGGCTGAGTTTCTAAGGGGCTTTAGTCTGGACAATGAATCACACATACCCCCTCCCGGAAAGGCTGCAGTAAGGCAGCCCTGTCTCATTCAAAAGCCACCGCCTCTGGTCCTAGGAATCATTGAGTTTCTGGTTGGGGGATTTAGGGGGTTGGTAGGCAAGATCAGAAACAAATGCTCACTTCCCTTCCCCCCTCTAGAAAAAACCAGGGCAGAAAGGCTGGGCCTGTGGAGCCAGAGCTGGGTGGTGACTTTGTCTTTGTCATGTTGGGGTGAGGGAGAGGGCGTCCTCTCCAACAGTGTGTGTTGGGGGGTCTGGCCAAGTTTGTACCCCATCTCTCCGTGTCTTATTCTAAAGTCCTGCTTGGTTCTCTCTTTTCCAGGCCCGATCACTTGAACGGACATATCAAGCAGGTGCACACTTCTGAGCGGCCTCACAAGTGTCAGGTAGGGGTGGGCAGGGCACAGATGGGCTGGAGGATGCTGCTAGTCTCACAGCCGCGGCAGTGAGCAAGCTGATGTGTGTGCCGGGCCAGCTGACTGACCACTGCTTTGCACACCTCCCCACTGTCCCTGCACCCTCCCTCTGCTCTCCTTTGTTCTTCACCTCGGCCCCCCTCCCCTCACAGCTGATGTTCCCTCCTTCCTGGTCGCTTGGTCCTGGTTCCCACCCTGTCTTCGTCTTCACTCTGTTGCTTGGCTTTTTTCCTCTCCTGGTGTTTGCTGGCTCCTTGGATGGTGGCCTACATCGCACAGGTGTTGTGCTAGGGGACCTGGCACCTTGCTGGGCCTGGCTGCTGGTTTCCAGCAGTTTATAGGGACTACAGGGTTTTTAAAAGGGCTCCTGGTGGTCTAGCCAACAACTCTTCCCCGTGTCTAACCCAAGTAGAAGTTCCTCCTGGGTCCCCTCAGCTTAGGGCACAAGGCAGTGGGGGAGGCAGGAGGTCGGGAATGGGTAGTCTCAGCTTCTGACACTGGTACCTGTTTAACCCATCCTGAGCCAGGGTTTCTGGAGAATTGGAGAGCAAGGTGGTCTCCTCTTCTCTTGAGCTCTCTGCAGAGTAGCAGGGAGGGAAGTCTGGACCAGATTCTCACCCTTGGTTTGTCTGTTTGAACAATATCCAGGGGCCGCTGGCCCCCAGAAAATTGAGTGTCCTCTCCTGGCCACTGAGCATTCCTGTGTGGACAGAGAACATGTCTGTATCTTCTCCTTGGTTTTCTCCCCTCTCCTGTGCCAAGAGCTCGCCAACTGAGGGCAAGACATGGTTGTGGGGCGTTCGCTACCACCTCTGGTAGGATAACCTGCTTCTCCTTATCCCCTTGGTGGCAAGGGGAGGGTTCATGGCGACCTGTAGGGAGGGATGGATGTGTAGGGCCCAGAGCCTCCAGGAGCCAGGCGTGGAAGGTGTTCACAGATCTGCGTTAGGCGGCCTCACTCGAGGAGGGTGACCCAGGGTGGGCCTGCTGGGATCTGTCTTTGCCTTGCTGCCTTCTCTCTGTCTCTGATTCTCTCATCACAGAGCACATTCTGACTCTCCCAGGTAGTGTGCTGAGCAGCCCAGGCAGAGTAGGAGGAGCCCAGAGGGCAGTGGGGGCGTGCCCGGTGGTCTGGGTGGGTAACCTACACTCTCTGCCCTTTTTCCAGGTGTGGGTTGGGAGCAGCAGCGGCCTGCCGCCCCTGGAACCTCTTCCTAGCGACCTGCCATCATGGGACTTTGCCCAGCCTGCTTTGTGGAGGTCGTCCCATTCGGTTCCTGACACCGCCTTTTCCCTTTCTCTAAAAAAATCATTCCCAGCCCTTGAAAACCTGAGCCCAGCACACTCCAGCAACGCTCTCTTCTGCCCAGCCCCGCCGGGATATCTGAGGCAGGGCTGGACCACCCCAGAGAGCAGCAGGGCCTTTACCCAGTGGCCTGTGGGTTAGCCTGGGCCTCCCTAGACAGGGTTCAGCATGGAGGGTAACAGGAGTGGCAGTTGGCCTGAGACCCCTGCTTTTGGGAGAGGCCAGCAAAGTGGTTCCTGCCCACCACACCCAGCTCCTCCCTGGGTAACTTGGGGTCTTTCCCAGCTCAGGGCCCCCAAATGGGGGTAGCAAGGAGTACTTTTCTTGGTACCCCCCCATAGCCTCCAAGTTTCTTTCTGGGCTGTCTTGTCCCCCATTCCCCCCCCTCTTTAACAGATGGTACCCCTGGACATCTGTCCTTGCCTGGGTAATTTTGGAGGTTGGTGCTTTCCCTGGGAACTAAGCTACCAGTTTATCTGTTTCCCCTCCCCTGGCATCACTTCCAATAAGGCATAGGCTTTCAATAATGGGGACTGGCTACTCCTCCCCCTACTCTGGGAGTGAATCTGCCTCCAGAGAAGGCTCTGGCATAACTCCAGCTAGTGTCAGCCCACGCTGCCCTCTTCCCTTCCCACTCAGACAGGTCCTGCTTTCATCTCTGGCTAGTGCAGTAGACTTTGGTGTTTTTGAGGTTTATTAGCAGGTCTGCTCAGGAACTAAACTAATCAGTAGCTTTATATTGGGTCACCCCAGTATATGGCTTTTGGGGGCTGATAAAGCAGATGTAGACCCCCCTTGGATCCCATTGGTATGCCCTTTAGCCCCCGCAGGCTCTGCGGGGAGAACAGGAGTGATGATAAAAGTTTTCATTCTAACATTTGAGGCTTTGTGTGTTTTGTCCTTGGTCTGTGTCATAACACTGACATCATTGTCCCTTGGTGTAAGAGCTGGCTCCCACCCTGCCCTTCCAACACACACTCTCACAGACCTGCTGGCCCCACCTCTGCCCCGTAGCCAGAACTCCCCTAATGAGGACCAAGCAGGTGAAGACGTGCTGGCTGTGTGCTCTGGGCTGGCCAGCCAGCTGTGCCTGGGCTTGGTTAAATAGCAGGGTCTCTCTGGCATAGCGTGATATGCTGAAAGGATCAGAGGTGAAGGGGTGTCTCTCTGGGAGTTGGTTCCCTTGTCCCCCACCTGTGTCTGGCTGGGCATAGTCCATACCTCTCGTCCCCCACTGATGCTGCAGAGGATGAAAAGGGCCAGTGACAGAGACTGGTACCACAGCTTGAGTAGAAAGGCTATCTGAAGATAGGGACAGGGAGTTTCAGGCTAGACAGTGACACACAAGTCTCCTTGAGTCTTGGCCCAAGTGTCCTTAACTGGCCCAAATGCCCCAAGCACTGCTGGATTTGTGAACTCAGTGGGCTGGGACATTGCCCTCCTGTGAAGTAGCCTGAATCTGAGAGGCTGGAGCAGGTGAACTTCTCCCCTTGCTTTCAGGGGCCCCACTTCTCCGGGGCTGGCTAGAGAAAGAAAAAATTAGATGGGCATACGCTCAAGAAGAAGGGGGCCAAAAAAGCCCATGGAGCCAGACCTTCATGCACTGCCCTTAGACTCTTCCAGGGCTGTGGGAGAAGGCTGCTCCAGACACCCCTGAGGCTGCCAGAGTTCAAAGTCCACCGAGGGTGGGGGTGTGCACTAGTGTCCTTGGTACCATGTGGGTACCATTTGCAAGCTGCTCAACCGTTGGGAAGTAAAGCTTGAGGAAGTCTGGGAGGGGGAAACTGGCCAGGGAGGGAAGGGAACATGACTGGGGCTCAGGGTTGAGTGGTGGTGACCAGAGGTGAGGGTGGCTGGGCCAGGACCTGGTAGGTGTGCCTCCTAACAACAGCAGGCTGCCAGAGCATAGGGCTGCGGGCAGGACAGCCATTCTGAGCATCCTGCCGCTGGAACGCTCTCTTCCCGTAACAGTCCCTCTGTCTTCTCCCTGTCCCCAGGACAGGGAGTGCTTTTCTTCTGAGTGGCCCCAGCATGGAGGTTCTGAGTGTCTCCCCTTCTCTGAGATCTGTCTCTCCCTCAGCCACGTCTCTCCTGGGTCGTGTGGCCAGGCTCTTTCATTTTCTGTGTTGTCTGAACTTCTGGCAGGCCTAGACTTGGACTCGTACGCTTTCACAGTTTCCCCAGAAAACCTGGGGACTCCAGCCACAAAGGGCACAGTACTGGCACAGAGAAGCCAACAATCACTTCAGCTTGGCATTTTTTTTTTAACAGTGAGAGCTTTTGTTGTGTTTGTGTTTTTTTTTCCCCAGCAGCAGATTTACATTCCTAATTATGTTTGCTCAGGCTAAAGTTAGCTTTCATTCCTTGAGAGATAATCAATGGAGGATGGGGTGGGGGAAGCCTGCCCAATCTGGGATTTTAATTTTGCTTAGCTAATCCTCAAATGGATAATCCACTTGTGGATAATTGAGGTTTGGCTGTCTGTCATCTTTAGATAGCAAAGCATGACAGGCGAAGCCTTTAGAGGACAGATCCCAAAAGAAGGTTGGCAAGAGAAACAAGGTGTCTCTTTCATATCCCTCCAGTGGCTCCCTCTCCCAGGGACCAAAAAAGACAGAATCCTAAATGTGTGTTTTCAGCCCCATTTTCTTACATGTGGTCTATGTTGGTTCTTTTGAGTTTTGAGGCTTAGAACACTCTCCTTCTCACCATTGGAGGGGTGGTCCTCAGGTCACTCACTACCTGGGAAAGCCAGCTCTCGTCCCTGTATAAATTGACAGGTGCACCTCTCTTTCCTGCGGGTGTTTATGACAGCCCTCTCTCAGATTTACTGGTTGCTAGGTTCAGTGGAAGATTCTGATCTTTTCCTCCCACTGTGGCCTATCATTGGGTCACAGAGATCCCTGACTGAGGTGGGGCTCATTTGTGGCCATGAGAGCAAGCGTCTAGGATGCTTTCTGAGTCACCTAAGTGGTGGAATTTCCCTGCACAGATCCTTTCACCTCTCCCAATCGTAGGAGTCCTGGCTGCCAAGTACGGTATACTGTGTTAAAAAATATCAGCACCTTTCACTCACCAGAAGCTACCTCTGCTAATCTGGAGATGATAAGAGTGTAGGCGTGGGTGCTGGTTTCTCTTCCAGCTGTCCCTTGTCCTCTCAGGTCCTCTGCTGGCTCAGCTACAAATTGGGAAAGATAAGATAGCTCAGGGTGGCCGGAAGGATTGGTAAAGTCCTGGCCTGGCTGTGGCAGGGGCATACTGGGCTTTCTGTAGTAGCTGAGTCTTATGCTTTAGCCAAGTTCACTTTCTAAAGTTAGCTTCCTCATTTGTCAAATGAATCAACTGAATATATAAAAGAGACAAAAGCAGTATTTCATTAGCATACATTGTTCTGTTTAAGTTTGTAATGTTTACTTAAAAAGACAATGGCTGAGAAGAGCAAGGGGAGGCTATGCTAATGCAGGCGGATATTTGGGATTGCAGTAGCAAATTGGCATTTTCTACCTCCAAGCATTGCTTGTGCTTGTCTCTTCTTTGTACAGTAAGGAGATAGATAAATATTTGTACGTGGTAACAGTGTTCAGACACTTACCTTATGATCTCAGGGTCTCAGGATGTGCTTCTGTTAAAGAGAGAAGGCAGGGGCAGCTCCAAGCTAGCACAAGTTAACGTTTGATAGGTAATGCATTTAAAGGTGAATGTTGTTGTCTTTTACAGTTCTGAAACAGTAAACACACATACGGAGAAAAGAAATGAATCAGAATTGACTAGAACCCCTGAAACATGGAACCAAAATAGCTTGAAAGCAAACAGATTCAACTTTCCTCAGGGCTTCCCGACATTCAGTGACCCCCAGGGCTAACGTGCCTTTGCACACCCAAACTGAGGAAGGGATGTTAGGGGAGGTCAGCAACTGATAGACTATCAGTCAGGTGCTCAGGTATAGGAAGTGCCCAGTGACCTGGGGCCTCCTTCCCAGGGGGCTGGTGCTGACCTTTGGCTCCTGAGTCGTCCAACCTTGGGACCTGGCCGTGAAGTGGTGCTCTGCTCATACCTCAGCCCGCCATGGCCACGTTCTCTTGGAGGGTGGCAACGCAGCCTGCCTCAGAGGACTGCTGTAAGGATAGGTTGCATGAGATAAATGCCCCGAAAAGGCTAAGCGTGGTACCTGCCTGGCCAGAATGCGTGCTCATTAATGCAGGGTGATATTGTCATCCTTGTTACTGGCATTTCCCCAACTTAACATTTCACAAATTCTCTCGAAGCCTCCCGCCTTGTCCTCTCTGCTAATTCTCTCATTAGCAGAATTGACACTATCATTTAGGAGCTGCTTTTGCAATTTAAACTCAAAAACATTATGAAGCATTGTCTCTGTGCTTTGTCCTGCCTTTTCTTTCCATTTCCCTGTGGCCAAGGACTAATGTCACTTTTAAATAAAATGAATAAATTGAATTTTTTCTTTTTTTTTTTTTTTTTTGAGACAGAGTCTTGCTTTGTTGCCCTGGCTAGAGTGAGTGCCGTGGCGTCAGCCTAGCTCACGGCAACCTCAAACTCCTGGGCTCAAGCAATCCTCCTGCCTCAGCCTCCCGAGTAGCTGGGACTATAGGCATGTGCCACTATGCCTGGCTGATTTTTTCTATATATATTAGTTGGCCAAATAATTTCTTTCTATTTATAGTAGAGACAGGGTCTCCGCTCTTTCTCAGGCTGGTTTTGAACTCCTTACCTTGAGCAATCCGCCCTCCTCGGCCTCCCAGAGTGCTAGGATTATAGGCATGAGCCCCCGTACTGGCCTTGAATTCTTTGTTTAAAGCAATTAGGGGAAACCCAGGAATGGAGAACAGGAAGGCTGGTTTATTTGCCAATAACTCATCTGTAAATCCACTTACAGCCAATGCACCTAAAGTCAGTTCTTATTGTTAACAAATGAACAAATGTCTAACTCTTCGTTTTGTAGAGGAGTATAGAACTCTGCTGCCGTGTCCTGGGCGTGTAGCTGTTTACAACCAGTGGTTCCGGCTCAGGTGTCCTGTGAGGAGGTATCATGGGAAATCAGAGCAGCTGTTTGGCATTCTGGGTAGAGAGCCTAAACTAGGCCCTGAAGCTCTCTTTGCAAAGGAGAGTCTCCATGATGGCCAGAAACCGTTCTTGTTTTGCAGTGTGTTTGGTAGGGAGTCAGGTGTGGAATGCCGATTTCGCCTCATCTTATTTTCCTTTCTGCCCCAGACCTGCAACGCTTCTTTTGCCACCCGAGACCGTCTGCGCTCCCACCTGGCCTGTCATGAAGACAAGGTGCCCTGCCAGGTGTGTGGGAAGTACTTGCGGGCAGCATACATGGCAGACCACCTGAAGAAGCACAGTGAGGGGCCCAGCAACTTCTGCAGTATCTGTAACCGAGGTAATCTGCTCGCTGTTTTCTCACTTCCAGAGGATGGTGTGTCCGGAACCCCCTGCCTCAGACTCCACTCTTTGCACGGCCTTCCCTTCCCACTGAACAATAAGCGCCTTCATCACCCCGCTAGCTGTTCGTTACCCCCTCCTTCCCAAGAAACCTTGGGGTATTTGGAATGGGAGGTCCCAGGAGACCAGCAGGTGGGAACAGAAGGAGACAGTTTGTTCCCAAGCTTGGGCACGTAGCTCACCTGCTGCTCAGGTGGGAGGATGGATGCATTTTGCAGATACCACTGAAATACTGAGGTTGGTGGAGGAGTCCATAGGTCCCAAAGTGGGAGAAAAAAAGGGTCCTGTTTAAGAGCTTTTGCTGGCTGATTCATTGGCATATGAAATTCAGCAGCCAGGGAAGGAGGTCGAGTGTTGGAGATAAATAAAAGGCAGAAACTTTCTAGCACAAATGGTCAGAAGAGAGCCCAAACTCAGGTAGATTACAACCTTAATGACAGAGGAACATGGAAGGTGCTCTGAGCAGGGCGGCGTGTTTGAGGACAAGGTGGGCCTAGGTGGTGTCTCACTCTGTGGCAGTGGTGTCGTGTTAGATGAAATCAGGCCAGTCTCTGAGGCTCTGCTGGCTGTTGGAAGTGCTGGAGGTTGGCATTTTGTAAGCACAGTGTCAGTGAGGAGGCTTGTGCTGTATCTGTGCTGAAGGCAGTCGGGGCAGCTGTCCGTGTGAGCGTGAAGATGCTTCTGCATGGTGCACTTGCTTTGGCCAGCTGGGGATATTGTTGGGATGTCTTTATCTCCTGGGGCACTCTTGTCTCAATGCTTTTGGAAGTCTTGGGTATGGCTTAATGGGTCAATCACTGAACCAGGAGTCAAGGGACCCAGGGTGTAGTCCCTGCCCCTCCCTGTGGCCTTGAGTTCTCCCTTCCCCTCTCTAAGCTTCAGTTTCTTTGTTGTTTTTTTTTTTTGTTTTTTTTTTAAAGCTTCAGTTTCTTTGCCTCTCAAATGGAGTTAAGAACACCCCCCTCCTTCTCTCATACCTCACAGGGTTGTTGTAAGGATCCCAAGAGACAAGGTAGGTGAAAGTTCTCTGAACCCACATGGAGCTGCACACTTGAGAGGCCCATCCTTACACTTTGCAACAATGTTAAAAAGTACACTGCTTGCTGACACTCTTATTTGGAGCAGGCAAAACACCCTGCAGGCCTTGGCTGGAATCACTGGGTGCCTGTGCTGTGTCCATGTGTCCTGAGGCCCCTGGTGGAGGGAGATTGCTGAGTAGCTGGGTGTTCTTGGTGTCCTGGAGCTGGGTTCTATCCTGGGACTTCACACCTGGGGTTTGCCTTGAAGGCAACTGAATGTTTATACCACTAGGACACCTGTGAAAGCAGGGAAGTAGTAATTCAAGCCTCTGAAGCCATCTGTTCTATTTTCTGACATATCAGTAGAGCCCATTTCTGGCAGGAGCGTCTCCCAGATAGCAAGCAGGCTTGTGTGTGCAGGGAGAGTCATCAGGCCGTGGCTGACCATCTTGACTGGCGCTGCCCCAGCCCTAGAAAAAGATGGTTTCTTGTCGTGCTTCATCCCAAACTGGCTTCCTGACAGCACCCCCAAATAACCCCAAATCTACTGTAACATGCCATCAGCATGCATCTTGTCAAGTTTTCAATGTTGAAATTCCCAGTTTGAGAGCCGGGGTCAGAAAACAGAGACTGAACACCAGTGAGAGTGGAGGATAATAATTACAAAACTCAGAAAGCCCAGTTGAGATGGCAGAGTAGCACAAGAACGGGACAGGAAACCCAGGGCTACAGCCCTAGGGAGCCCAGCTCAGAAGGAAAGAAGAACTGAGAGCACCAGGGACAGTGGGAAAGTTGGCCCAGTTAGGAGGCAGCCGATGTGGCAAAGCTGACAGCTATTGTACGTCAGGATTTCTTTTCCAAGGGCTGGTAAGAAGACTTGGGTAACAGCCACAAGCTACGTGACTGGGATGGGAGAGCCAGAAGAGTAAAACCAGAGTCCACCTTTTCTCAGAAAAGCCAAGACCAGATCTGGATCACAGGCCAAACACCTTCATGTCCTAGAGTCACAGCAGGAAGTCCCATTCCTCCATGAAGACAAAAGAAGGTGCTGGTCCAACCCATGCTGGGTACTCAGAAGGAAGAGGAAACGATTGCAGTTTTTATCAGGAGAGAAGCAGGATTCTGCCTCTGGTCTCATTCCTTGGGCAGAAATAGGAAGAGGTCAAAAAGGAACAAAAATGAGGAAGAGGATAAAGTTCCTTCTGGGCACCAAAGACACTGAAACATTGGAATCAGAATGAGGAGAGCTCTGTGTTATCGTTTGCCTTGCTGCCACCAAGGCTATGCATACCGTAATGGAATAAATGAATGTTCTTATCCTTGCAACGGTTGAGCAGAGGCTCAGTGTTAGCCCACTGGACAGACTGGTTAAAGTTGAATCCGATGAACTTCCAGGTGTCCTCTGAGATCCTTCAGCCCCAACAATTCTTAAACAGTCAACTTAATTACCTACCTATAGAGCTGCCTTTTTCAGTCTTTGCCACAAAAATGACTCCTGTCGGTGAAGAATGGGGACGAGGGGAGGTAGCTTGACTGCCCTAGCCCCACACTTGAGTCAAATGCAAGTTAATGAGACAGATGACCCTGTTTTTGTCCTAGAAACGTATAGGGAGTACATGATGCCATTTGTAGAGGAAGATCATTTGTAGTGGGGGGAGTGTTATGGCTAGAAAACATTCCTTCATTTTTGAGTTGAGGAAATCAGTGGAGTTGAACAGTGGAAAAGAGAGACAGGATCACCATGATTTTCTTCCTTTCTTTTAAACTATCTCTAGCAGGGTCTTTGTATATATGCATATGTGCTGGTACAGGGAAGAAAGATAGCTTATCAGGAATCTGCCCTTTACAGAGACATTTGGACTCAAACATCATTGCTTAAAGGGTAAAGGAAACCCTCTCAGTCAGAGGTGAGCACACAAGCAAGTAAACACGGACAGCCCGCTGGACTGACATAAACCTATTTGGAAGGCCCCCTCCAACACAGGGCAGCTGGGAATGGCCCCTCCAGGTTTTGGACATTGAGAAAGTAGTCCCCAGCCCTTTCTTGCATATGGAAGCTGTCAGAGGATGATTGGCTTCTGGAATGCAAATGGCAGATACAGCAGGCGAGAAAACGCAACTGAGGAGCAGTGGCCTTTTGGTAATAAACTCTTCATCTCTGGAGTGAGAGGGCGGGTGGCTTGTTGGTTGTAGTGGCAGTTATGTGTGTGCCCAGCGTCTCCATTGCGTGGATGCCTGGATCAAGCTGCCTCTTTGGCACTTGGTGAATCAGTGAATGGTGGGTAAGTTTAGAATTCCTGCTAAATATGTCTGGCTTCAAAGATGTGTTCTGCTCAGAAGCTCAGCTTCTGTTTCATCCCAACACTTGGCTGCTGAGTTGCTCTGTGTTTAAATTCTGGGCTTTAAGTGGCAGCTGTGGATCCACTCCCACCACCCTGCCATGTGGCTTCGCTATAGATAGTACAGTCTGCAGCTGGGGTAGAGTCAAGAGGACGCAACAGTTTCTCAGACTGTTTTTCAGGAAAACGCAGCAAGTTTGTATTGAGCATCTGCTGTATTCCCCTGGCAGAGCTCTCCCGTGAGAGTGAATATAATAATTCCTAGTGCTCTCCCCTGCCTTTCCTGTCCCCTTTGATTGCAGTGGACCTGCTCTGGTACACCATGGGAAGGGCTTCATACTACTTTAGAGGTCCCAAAGAGATTAAAAGCCAAAAGAAAAAATTCCCTTCTAAAGTGGCATCATCATAGTATCAGAAAGGTCTGCTATCTTATGCTGGTTGCCAGGGACCAATGTCAGCTTGGTTCCATGGTGCCCACCCAAGGGGCAGGGCTGAAAGCCTCTTTCCCACCAGCCTTGTGTACTCATTCCTGACTTCAGCCTCCCTCTGAGGACCATTTGCATGTGACCCTCTTAAGCCAGTCTGTCCACCAGTGATTGGCCCTAGGCAGACCACTTTGGTCACAGTGCAAGACAGTTCACTCTGCCAGGCAGGACAGGACACCAGCATCTG